CATATCATATATTATGTCAGTGTTTCTTTGTCAAGGCATCTGTTTTCCTTCCCCAGTGTTTCTCAGCCCTAGTGAGGTTTTTAGTTTCTGCAGCTTTCAGTTCCTAGTCTAGCCTTTATCGATCTGCGGGATCGATAAAGGGACAAAAAAAAGGAAACAAAAAAAGTAAATGGCCACAATTTAGACTTTAATTACGTTATATTTTATAAGTGGTTTAGCAGCAACAGTAATGTGACGCAAAAGCAATTTGACAAACTTAAATGTTATTAAATATATGTATTGTTTTACAGTCAATGGCCACCTAATGTCTAGAACCCATGGAAACCAAATCTCTCTTGAGATGCTTTGCTCGTGGGCCTCTGTCTTCAGTTTTATATTCAGTAACTGAAACGTATGCTCTGTTCGGTTCAAGTGACTAAATTGGCAATTGGAGAATATTCTCTTTTCTTTCCTTGTCGTAAATGCCCTTCATTTGTATTCATGATGGCATTTTTGATTGAAGACTTTTTCAGTGATATACAGTGGGGCAAAAAAGTATTTAGTCAGCCACCGATTGTGCAAGTTCCCCCACTTAAAATGATGACAGAGGTCAGTAATTTGCACCAGAGGTACACTTCAACTGTGAGAGACAGAATGTGAAAAAAAAATCCATGAATCCACATGGTAGGATTTGTAAAGAAATTATTCGTAAATCAGGGTGGAAAATAAGTATTTGGTCAATAACAAAAATACAACTCAATACTTTGTAACATAACCTTTGTTGGCAATAACAGAGGTCAAACGTTTACTATAGGTCTTTACCAGGTTTGCACACACAGTAGCTGGTATTTTGGCCCATTCCTCCATGCAGATCTTCTCGAGAGCAGTGATGTTTTGGGGCTGTCGCCGAGCAACACGGACTTTCAACTGCCGCCACAGATTTTCTATGGGGTTGAGGTCTGGAGACTGGCTAGGCCACTCCAGGACTTTCAAATGCTTCTTACGGAGCCACTCCTTTGTTGCCCGGGCGGTGTGTTTTGGATCATTGTCATGTTGGAAGACCCAGCCTCGTTTCATCTTCAAAGTTCTCACTGATGGAAGGAGGTTTTGGCTCAAAATCTCACGATACATGGCCCCATTCATTCTGTCCTTAACACGGATCAGTCGTCCTGTCCCCTTGGCAGAAAAACAGCCCCATAGCATGATGTTTCCACCCCCATGCTTCACAGTAGGTATGGTGTTCTTGGGATGCAACTCAGTATTCTTCGTCCTCCAAACACGACGAGTTGAGTTTATACCAAAAAGTTCTACTTTGGTTTCATCTGACCACATGACATTCTCCCAATCCTCTGCTGTATCATCCATGTGCTCTCTGGCAAACTTCAGACGGGCCTGGACATGCACTGGCTTCAGCAGCGGAACATGTCTGGCACTGCGGGATTTGATTCCCTGCCGTTGTAGTGTGTTACTGATGGTGACCTTTGTTACTTTGGTCCCAGCTCTCTGCAGGTCATTCACCAGGTCCCCCCGTGTGGTTCTGGGATCTTTGCTCACCGTTCTCATGATCATTTTGACCCCACGGGATGAGATCTTGCGTGGAGCCCCAGATCGAGGGAGATTATCAGTGGTCTTGTACGTCTTCCATTTTCTGATGATTGCTCCCACAGTTGATTTTTTCACACCAAGCTGCTTGCCTATTGTAGATTCACTCTTCCCAGTCTGGTGCAGGGCTACAATACTTTTCCTGGTATCCTTTGAAAGCTCTTTGGTCTTGGCCATGGCGGAGTTTGGAGTCTGACTGTTTGAGGCTGTGGACAGGCGTCTTTTATACAGATGATGAGTTCAAACAGGTGCCATTCATACAGGTAACGAGTGGGGGACAGAAAAGCTTCTTACAGAAGACGTTACAGGTCTGTGAGAGCCAGAGATTTTCCTTGTTTGAGGTGACCAAATACTTATTTTCCACCCTGATTTACGAATAAATTCTTTACAAATCCTACCATGTGGATTCATGGATTTTTTTTTCACATTCTGTCTCTCACAGTTGAAGTGTACCTCTGGTGCAAATTACTGACCTCTGTCATCATTTTAAGTGGGGGAACTTGTACAATCGGTGGCTGACTAAATACTTTTTTGCCCCACTGTACCTGTCTCCTGAAAACTGTTCTTGGTTTTCCAACATGATGTGAAAGGTGTTCTCTTAATCAATGAAAGATTTGTAATGATCTACTTTATTTTTCAGGCCATTTTAGGCCAAAAACTCACATTTGCCTAAGAAGCAAAGGAGCAGCTGAAGGTTGCTTTCACCTTGGTTGTCTTTCAGGGATTATGTTGGTGAGCTGTTTAGTCTGTTGGCAATTCACTCTATTTCAATTTCTTGTCTTGTCTTGTTAGACTCACATTGAAAATTCCAGCCTGCTAATTCCAAGTTCAACAGTAAACGATTCCAGATATTTAATCAAAATGTTTGCAGTTAATGGACTATCTGTTAAAAATCACAGAATTAAACCTGGAAGTGTGCAGTTCAATCGCATGTTGATCTTTTTTTCAAATCCACTGTAGTGTAAACACAATGAAGCACACAAAAGAAATGACACAGAAAAAGTATTTAAAATCTATTTAATATTTCGTGCAAAAATTCCAAGACATCTCTTGTGTAGATAAACTCGTAACAAGCATTTCTCATGTGTGATTTTGGCACATTTTTCCACACAAAACAACGAGTCTTCCAATCCTGAAAGTTCTGTGGGCTCCTTCTATGAACTCCAATTCTTAGCTTTAATCCTTTGCATAGATTTTCAACTGGATTCAGGTCAGATGATTGGCTGGGCCATTCTAGCAGCTTTCTTTCCCCTTTCCCTGAGACCAATGGAGAGTTTCCTTGTGTGTTTGGGATCATTATCTTGCTGGAACGTCCTCACTCGTTTCATTTTAATCATCCTGGAAGATGGCAGCAGATTTCTAATCAAGAATGTCTCCCTACATTTTTCCTTTCATCCTTCATTCAATTGTACGAAGTAAACCAGTGCTGTATGTTGAAAAATGACCCCATGATTTTCCCACCTCCAAACGTCACTGTTGGTATGGTGTTTTTGGGGTGATGTGCAGTGCCTTTTGACCTTTGAGCTACAAACATGGCGCATTTTATGGCATCCAAACAGTTCAATTTTGGTCTCATCTGACCAGACTATATTCTTCCAGTATTTCACAGGCTTGTCTAAATGTTGTTCGGTTGTTCGCAGCATCCTTTTTCTTCAGCTGTGGAGTCTTGCATGGTGAGTGTATATACAGGTCATGGTGGTTGAGTGCATTACTTATTTTTTTTCCTCTGAAACAATTGTACCTGCTGCATCCAGGTCTTGCTGTAGCTCTTGGACAAGTTTTCTGAAAAGTCTTTTCACTCCTCTGTCTGACATCCTGTGGTGAACACCTGGCTGTGGCCGGTTTATGTTGAAATGATCTTTCCACTTCTGGATTTTGGCCCCAACAGTTTCTCACTGGAACCTTCAGTAGTTCAGAAATTGTTCTGTAACCAATGCAATCAATAAGGTTTTAAAGACCTTAAGAGTATTCCTCTACTTGTATTCCTTTGTAATATTTCTTTTATCCTTAATTGAACTCTATTTTTCTGTAATTCAGATTTATGTATTTCCCTTTCCTGTCTATATTTCCCACATTCTAACATGTTCAAACCTTTCCTCTTGTCCACAAAATTCACAATTCCCTGTTGTGTGACACCTTGGTAATAGGTGGCAGGATTGCTTTTTAATTACTGATAGATTTCAGCTTGTGTCATGGCTTTTCATGCCTTTTTGCACCTTTGTTTCATCATGTGTTCAATACCTTTTCCCTGTGTCATTTCTCATTATTACACATTTGAATTTACGAAATTTATGGATTAATTTTATATCATTTGGAGCAATGCTTATTTATCTGCTGTGTGTGTGGATTTGGTTTGTCAAGATGTGATATGTGCACTTCAGAAAGATGCAGAGAAGGACCGAGTGACATTCTGAATGGCATCTTAAATATTCTGGATTTTCTTGTAACCTGGAGAATGATGCACTTACTAGATGACTGACCCAAAAATATGCAAGTGTGCGGTTTGTGATGACACTGACAGATAAATATTTTTTAAAAGGCTTAAAGTTTGTGTAAGTTTATTTTCCTGATTTTCAAGCAGGTTCAGTAGTCAGATTTGGGGTTCAGATTGGGACCCACAGTGTGGAGACTGAAATCAGCCAATACCTCAGTTCAGCAAGTGTCATTGTTTGCATCTGTGTAAGTCGCTGTAACTAACTGAACTTGAGCAGTGACCTTTTAGACAGTCACTGCCCTGCCAGAGACCCTGATGGCTTGCAGTTTTTTTGTGTGATTTATTTTACATAAAGAAAAATGTCCATGTTTCCACCCAATTTTATCCGCTTATCCACTTCAGGGGTGCTGTAGCTTATTCCAGCTGTCACAGGGTGAAAGGAAGGTTTCGTCAGTCGGAATCCAAACAGTTTTCCTCCAAGTCTAAATTGTTCAGACAAAATATTTAGGCTAATGTTTACAGTATTTCAGTGCTTCAGCATTTAACAGAGTATAGAAGCATTCACACCAGCAGCATTTAATATATATATATTTGAAATAGTTAAAATTGTAAGATGAAATATTTTACTTAATATTGAATCATTTGGGTCTACATGTCTACTTCTGAGGAATGCAGTCGTCTTGTTAAACAATGTAAGAACTGCAAAAAACACAGCACTACGTGAAAAGTGGATTTTCTTGTTTGTTGGTTTGTTTTGATTGCTAAAAGTGAACAAAGTTACACACTAATGAGATTAGAAATAGTTCAGACTATTCAAAGGGCATTCTCACTTTTCTAGTTTATCTGGAATACATAGATGCATTTCTGCACTGCTTCCAGTCAGTTATTACTGAACTAATATAGTATATATTAAGAAAAAATGATCCAAAATGTTAATGTACTTATGTCCTTTCCTGCTTTTTTTTTGTCTGTTTCTCCTTCACAGAGGCAAATGTTTGTTCTGCGGTATCTAAAGAATACATCTCTGGCTTCTTGTGGCTTTATGAGGACTGGCATAGCAAAGATAACCAAGATGTTGCCATAGCAATCCGTCATGCGCTCCTGTGCTGCCTCCTTAAGGCCACTGACAGCACTGCAGGCAGGCAGGCTTTTCTATCCCAGGGAGGTATCAGACTCCTATATCAAACTGCACAGGTGAGTTCAAATTGTTTCTAGGTGAAGTTAATCTGACTTCATGAGGTAGAAACCAAATGCCTGTGTGCCAGTATAGTCCTTTTTCCATTAGTACCTACTTAAATCGACTCGACTCGGCTGTATTTGATCAACCTAATCTAAATGCATTTATCATGCTAAATTGCAAAGATTTTTAAGTTTTTGTTGAAGGGTGTGTCCATGGTGCCAAAGTGAATATCGATGATGTTTAGCATCAGGAGATACAACTTTATTGGCAATAAACACAACACTTTGATTGGATCAATATGTGATCCTCATATTTAATTTGTATGTTGACTAAGTTTTTTAACCCTTGGCTGTAAAAGGGTATTGTTGACACCCTGCTAGGTAGGCAGGCAGGTGGATAATGTGGACACCCAAGTTTGTGAATGCAAGAGCAAATTAATGGATTTCTTTTTAAATTTAGTTTCATATTGATACCATAGGTGTAGCTACTAAAAATCACGGACTAGTTTGAATCTCTGTGTCCTAGACATCAAGGTCAGGGGTCAGAGGTCACCTTTCCGAAAAAAGATTTTCTGAAAATCTTGCATCTGAGGGGTACCCCTGGCCACTGCCAGTAATTTTATATTTATTTTATATATCAGAACAGCAGGGCTGAACGTGCATTCAGCCAAGTCAATGACTACAATTAAAATGTTTTTTTTACCACTCAGTGTGCTAAATCAACAGATTAACAATTTCCTGCTGCATTAATACTGTCCTTTTAAAAACCAGGTTGCATTTTACTGCTACTTGTCTTATGTTCTCTACAGTTATTATTTGATTTGCCACTTTGTATTTATTTTTTTTTGTACTATCTACCATGACATTTATTTAAGCTCTTTTGCTATACAATGGCAGCAATGATTCACTAATGCCCTGAGGAATTTGCAAGCTTGCTCATTTACTAGGAAATGAATATGCTTAAATTTTATAGTACTTTCATTTTAATAAGATAAGATAAGATAAGATAAGATAAGATAAGATAGAACTTTATTAATCCCTCGGGTGGGTTCCTCTGGGAAATTCGACTTCCAAAAAAAGCACAGCAACGACCGAAGTTACAGTTACAGAATTGTTATATATATATATATATATATATATATATATATATATATATACACACACACACACACACACACACACACACACACACAACACACACACACACACACACACATAAATACAGAGACAAATATAAATAAAATATATGAAGGGGATAAATAGAATAAATAGGAATAAAAAATAAATAAAAATACAAGTGAATTGCACATTTCAAGTATTGAGTCTATTGCACTGTTGACTATTTACAAAAAGTATTGCACAAGGTATTGTACAGTGAGGTGAAGAGGCACTACAGCTTAGTTGTTCCCCCCTCCTTTGTCCTCCTGTTTCCCCTCCCTCTCCCCTCCAGAGAGGAGTTAAACAGTCTGATGGCGTGTGGGACAAAGGAGTTTTTAAGTCTGTTAGTTCTTGTCTTTGGGAGAAGCAACCTGTCACTGAACAGACTCTTCTGATTGTTTATGGCCGTGTGCAGAGGATGCCTGGCATTGTCCATAATGTCCATCAGTTTCTTTAATGTCCTTTTCTCTGCCACTGTCACCAGAGTGTCCAGCTTCATGCCGACCACAGAGCTAGCCCTCCTGATCAGTTTCTCCAGCCTGGATGAGTCCTTCTTTGCTGTGCTGCTCCCCCAGCACACCACAGCATAGAAAAGTACTCCAGCAACCACCGACTGGTAAAACATCCTCAGGAGCTTCCTGCAGATGTTAAAAGACCTCAGCCTCCTGAGGAAGTACAGTCGGCTTTGGGCTTTTTTATACAGGTGCTCTGTGTTGCATGACCAGTCCAGTTTATTGTCCACCCACAGCCCGAGGTACTTGTACTTGTTGACCACCTCCACCTCCTCCCCCTCTATCTGAACCGGCAGTGGACCTGCTCTAGACCTCCCGAAGTCCACAACCAGTTCCTTAGTCTTTGAGGTGTTGAGTTGCAGGTGGTTTGTGTGACTCCATGCAACAAAGTTCCTCACCAGACTTCTGTACTCCTCTTCCTGATCATCCCAGATACACCCCACGATGGCCGTGTCATCTGCAAACTTCTGAATGTGGCATAATTCAGAGTTGTAGCAGAAGTCAGAGGTGTACAGGGTGAAGAGAAGAGGGGACAGCACAGTTCCCTGTGGTGCTCCTGTGCTGCTGACCACTGTGTCAGACGTGATGTCCTTCAGCCTGACGTACTGTGGTCTGTCGGTGAGGTAGTCGGAGATCCAAGCCACCAGGTAGGGGTCCACCTCCATCCTGTTCAGTTTTTCCTGAAGCATACAGGGCCGGATGGTATTAAAGGCACTGGAAAAGTCAAGAAACAGTATCCTGACCGTGCCTTTTCCCCCATCCAGGTGTGAGTGGGCTCTGTGTAGGAGGTACAGGATGGCATCCTCCACTCCGACACCCGCCTTGTATGCAAACTGTAGTGGGTCCTGGGCATGTTGTACCTGTGGTCGGAGGAGGTTGAGGAAGAGCCGCTCTAGGGTCTTCATAAGATGTGACGTCAGTGCCACCGGTCGGAAGTCATTCAGCTCATTGGGCCGGTTCTTTTTGGGGACCGGGATGATGCAGGATGTCTTCCATAGGGCGGGCACTCTCCCCAGTCGCAGACTGAGGTTGAAGACTCGTTGTAGCGGCTCCCCAAGTTCAGCAGCACACGCCTTAAGCATCCTGGGACACACCTTGTCTGGGCCTGCTGCCTTTCTGGGGCGAAGCTTCCTCAGTTGTCTCCTGACCTGATCCACTGTGACACTGGGAGATGTTTGGGAGGAGGGGAGGGGGGGAGATGTCTTGCTGCTGAGAGAGGGATTGGAGGAGGGGGGTGTCATGGTGTCAGGAAGGGGGGGAAGCGAGGGAGGTAGGAGAGTGGGGATTGGACTCTGTAGTGAAGGTGAGGGTGAGGGTGGGGGGGTTGTGGGCTGGTCAAACCTGTTGAAGAAGTTGTTGAGTTCGTTTGCCTTCTCCACAGTCCCCCCCACTGTGCTTTTCTTGGTGTTGTGGCCTGTGATGGTTTTCACACCATTCCAGACCTCCCTCATATTGTTCCTCTCCAACTTCTGCTCCACCTTCCTCCTGTAGGTGTCCTTTGCTTCCCTCAGGCAGCGTTTCACCTCCCGCTGTGCTGCTTTCATCTCCTCCTTCACTTTGCTCCTGAAAGCCTTCTTCTTCATGTTGAGGACAGCTTTGACTTCCTGTGTTACCCACGGTTTGTTATTAGGATAACACCGTACCGTCTTAGCAGGGGCGACTGTGTCCACACAAAAGTTGAGGTAGTCTGTAAGACAGTGTGTCGCCCCCTCTATGTCCTTACCATGTGGGCTCAGGAGCACATCCCAGTCTGTGGTGTCATAACAGTCCCTCAGAGCATTCTCCTTTTCTGGGGTCCATCTCCGGATGGAGCGCGTTGTGACAGGCTGCCTTTGGACGAGGGGTGTGTATTGTGGCTGTAGAGATAAAATAAATAGAGATAAAGGAGAATATCAACCAGAAAATCCAAAGAAAATGGAGAAAAGAAAATCACATAAAAATGATAAACTGTAATATACAAAAGACAAAATGAATGAAAGACAAATGTGAGTTTGGGAGGGTAGGTTTCGGCATTCTGTTGGTACAATATAGCTCATTCATTAACATTAAACTAATCTGTTAGCTCACATTTTTCTGGAGTTTTCATGTTGTTTCAATTTTCTTGTTTGTTTCTGTGCAGACATGTTTATTAAGCAAAAATCTGGAGTGTTTGGTGGAGCCATCCGTGCAGCTGATGAGGAAGTGTCTTCCTAGAATTCCTCTACCAGTCACATCAGATCAGTCTGCATATAGCTTTCTCCTGCCTGGTACACCTGCTTTCACGGATGTTAGTGAGACACCAGGTAAAGTCCCAGGATTCATAGACCTCCAAAAACTGTTTAGACCTCAGGAGCCCCAAACAGACTAATTAAATCTTTAGTTAATCTTATGTAGTCTGAGACTGGCCATTTTTATTCCATTAAGGGTTAATGGGGTATTTTCGTCACCCCACTGCGTGAGCAGGCAGCGTGGACACCCACGTTTGTAGATTTAATAACTTGAGAATGAGGCAACGTAGCACTTTGATATTTATACCATAGGTGTATCTACTGAAAATGAACAAGACTGAATCCCGGTGACCTTGACCTCAAGGCCAACGTTTAATAAAATTAAATGTAATTAGGAAATGATGAGACATAAGAGGGTTTTCGGAATTCTGTTCCATAATCAGTTTCAGATCAAATTGTGCACATCCAACCTCGCTGCACATGGAGATTACTTCTGATTGGATCAATTAGAAGCTCACTCCAACTCTTTACACAACTTGATGTGTTCTGATTGGATCTTGTCTCTTCAGAACATTTTAATCTAATTTTTATTCATCAAAGTGTCAATACATTTCAACATAGTTTTTGTCCTTTGCATTTGTTTAAGTTTAAACCTAATTGAAGTTTAAGTATAATGAAATGTGCTATATAAATTAAATGTCCATTATGATTGTAATTTTACTTTGGAGTCAACAGTCACTCTAACTTATCGGTTTTCTGTTGTGTATATATGTGTTGTAGATGAGAGCAGTGATGAGAGCGATGCTGAAGAAGCTGAAGATAACCATGAGGCCAACAACAGAGACTATGTGAGTCTATGCAGATGGAGTGCTTAGGATTGTCACCTCACTGCAAGAAAGTTTATGGTTTGAAATCTGGTTTTTGGCCTGTGCATACCTTCTGGGTACTGCAGCTACCTTCCACAGGTAGGTAGCTGCAGTACGGTGGATTTGATATATGCTGCTGTGAGTATATATTGAAGACTCATGAGTCATTATGCATTTGTGTGCATCTTTGTCCAGGATGATGACTTGGAGACTGACCTAAACAAACTTCGTCTTCCTCCTGACCCTGACAGACCTAAAGAGCTGCTTACACAGTACAGCTGCTTTTGTCCTGAGCTGTCACATGATTTCCAGGTATGCACCTCTCTCTCGCTCTCTGTCTTGTGTTTGTGTGTGTGCATTTGTTTGTTAGATGAATAAATTGTTAAATTCCGCAAATGTGTTGTTTCTTTGGACTTCAATCATCCGATTCAATAAAGAACACTAAACAAAGTAGTAGAATAAACTGTTTGGCATTGGCAACAACGATTCAGCAAGTTTCTCAACCACCATTTAAGGTGAAATAAACAGACTTTCCACCAGTATAATATTCATTGCCAAGAAACATTGTTACAAAGAAATAACTGACCAAAGAAAAACTTCCTTTTGTGCTAAGTTTATTTTTTTAAAGGCAAAAGATGTTGGCTTCATGTTTAATTCAATAAAAGTAATACGTGTGTTGTATTTTTTTTTGTCTCAAGACACTGCCGACATTTTTCTGTATGAAGCCAAACCCTTTGTCTAGATTAACTTTAAACACAACCATAAAACTGAAATGTTACTAAGTAATTAAGTAGAAAGTAAGAAAATGGTACAGATCGATGAAAAAGATTTGATATTTTCTTAACCACTTGTCCAATTCAGGAATGCAGGGATCCTGTGCCAGCTGTCTACAGATCACCAGTCCATTACAGGGCTGTGTTATGACCTGGTTCATAAACCACAACATAAAATGGAGACTGAAACCACAACTTTATTTAAGCTGAAAAATGACAGCAAAAAGGAATCAGTTAGGAGAGCATAACAAGGTCCACCCTTTGTCAAGTACAGACAATTAGCAATTAAACCCAGTCAATTGGCAGTGCCACTTTAAAGGCAGGTAGTGCTTGCAGAGGGGTGTAACACCTCCCCCAGGAACTCAAAATGAATTTAGAGAAATCCCCCTGGAGTCTTTTCTAGTTGTTGACCTAAAAGATAAAATGGGGAAAGATGGAAAACAAGTGTGGCTCACAGCAGCCACAAACGAAGTTACTCCAATCAGTGGACACCTACAGCCAAGACACAGAGGCAGAATATCATTCCTGCCTAAGACCAATTTAAAGTCACCAATGAACCTTCTATGCATGCCTTTTGGATTGTGGTTTGAACCTGGCATACTGGTGAGATCACACAGTAAGAATATGCCAAGTCCACACAGCAATGCTTCAGGTAGCTGGCAGATTGAGACCTAGAATCTTCTTGCTGTGAGGCAACAGGGCTGACCTCTACACGACAGCTTCAAGTTGTATTTAAATTTGTAGTTAATTTCAGAGATTTCTATGATATAGTGAAGAACAAACAAAACACGTGTTCGTATTGGTCATGACTGTACTGTACCGCATGAAATGGAATATGTTGTCACCTAATTAAGATTTTTCCATCTTGTAATGATACACTAAAGAGCCAACAGTAAAATCACTTATGAACTGATAACCTTTATCATCTTGTTACAATGCAGGGATGCACCTGCATTGAAAAACAAAATCAGACAAAATATTAAAGTGACGCTGAGGTTAGCACTGTCACTTCACAGCAGCAAGAGTTCTGATTCAAGTCTTTGAGATATCACGGCCTTTCTATATGGCATTTCCTGCACTTGTGCCTGTGTGAATTTCCTCACTTCGTGTTCCTCCCACTGTCCAAAGACTGCTCATGGATGTGAGGTAGATAGTGTGCTTAAATTATATAAAATAAAGCACTGTGTGGTTATGTGTGGCTTGTAGTCTGAAAGACTTTGAGTGGCCAGTTAGACTAGAAAAACACAATATAAATGCTGTTACTGGCAGCTGATGTCACCGTGACGTCACCACGCAATGATTTTGTAGAGTGACAACAATATTGTCTGTAATATTTAACCACTACATGTATTTTCAGGTTTTAGAGTCAGTTTACCTGTATATATGTATAGTATGATCTATGTGGACCGGAAGCAAACAATGTGATGTCTAGAAATGTCATCTCATCACCCTCGGTGTGGAAGAAGGAGGCTAATAGGTAGACTCTTGTTTAACATGGCATACTTATTACGCTGGCAATCACGATTTCAACATAATTTTTTTCACTTTTGCACACATCATCCACATAATTTTCTATATAATCAAAACTTTGTAATGCCACATAGCCAGGTAACAGTTTTTTCAAAAGGCTCTCTATTATGTATTTGCTAGTTCCACACTCACCTCACCTTGGAAATAAATGATGCAGCATTGACTCTATAACTGAACATAGCTCATGTTTCAAAAGACCAAGGTATGTTTGTACATAGGCTACTGACTGGGTTAGCTCTCAACTGCCCACATGTTTACACAAAGCCTCTTCAGAAAAAATCAAGCATCTTTTGTGAGGTCTTGCAATGTACAGTTGGTGTTTTGCCAGAGTAAGACGTGACTATATCTGTGTTTTTCAGGAGCTGGATCTGAGTTCAGAGACAGGGGATAGTTCAACAGCATCATCATCATCAGATGATGAGGTAGTGCTGCTTAACAAGGACAGGACAAAGACTACTGCAAGTCGAGATTCCTCTACCTCTGATGGTTCTTACTCAGAGATGGAAATATCCAGTAGAGACATGCCAGGTCAGAGCCAGCTTAAACACACAGCAACACTGGTCCAAAAGTAGGGTCTCTACTTTACGAAAAGTTGCATTGAGATTTCTGTTGTGTTTTTGTGCTACGTAAAAAAATTGAATTGAACTGAAAAATTATGATCAATTACAAAAAGATAGCTCTGGATAATGACATCAGCCTATAGAGAAAGTGATGCATATTTCCAGCTTATGCTTATCCCTCTCACAAACAGAAGCAGAATGAGTAGCACTCTTTACCATCTACTTTTAAGAGCAAAATCATTAATATATTTGAATGTTTATAACAATGTTTTTAAACACAGCTTTATAACGGCTAAAAATGTTAACCTTTATTTAACCAGGAAAAACTCTTGAGATTTAAAATCTCTTTTACAAGAGTGTCCTGGCCAAGGACAGCATACGATAAGTTATATAAATTTATAGCACCTAAACATGCAAAGTTACCAGTTAAGTACAGTCAAAGAGTAAAAAACACAGCAAAGAAACCTTCTAATGAGGTTTTAACAACCTCATCAGAAATATTAAAGCAGCTTATTTACATTCATTCTTTATTATTGTTAGTTGTTGACAGATTTTTAAAATCAGTTTTTAATGATTAAATTATTCACTTTAATTAAAAGTTTAAAGTTGACATTTATGAAATACTGAGCCAATTCTAAAACTAAAACAGACTAAAAATGTCTGCTTGAGTACCTCACAGCTAGTGAATTGAGTTAGTAACCTGATTACCGTTGATTACTGACCATGCCTTAAACTAATAAATTATAAGTTTACAATTCTGCCAGCAACTAATTGCTGGTCAAATATCTGCAAAATAACACATTATTGTCTTTTTCACTCAATCGTGAATCTATTTTGTTTCTTTTGCAAGAAATATTGCACATTTCTTTTCATTCTCATTAATTCCACTGATTTTTATTTGCTCTGCTAAGTAAACAATACTCGGGACCTCTTCTAAGAATTACAAGTTAATTTCACAAAAATTCTTTCACATCACTGCATTAGCTCCTTCATTTGTTTTGTGGGAATTTAAAAACTCAATGGATTATTTTCCCTTTCTCACTCTTCAGCTGCTGCCCATTTAGAAGCGTGTGATTTCCACAGTCACAGCAGCATCCTGGGCACAAGCCCTGGGTTCAGGACCATGGTTAGAGGGGCAATGTAAGCTCAAAGTCTTCATGCTAACTGCATGTACTGCATGGACTAAGGTTCTGTCGAGCTGTTTTAACTGAAATGTCAATTATCCTGACAATGCAAAACAAACTGTCAAAAACTTAAATCTACTGCTTGTTAAACTGACAAGCGGCATGAGGCAGATTCAAGGCCAGAACTGTGGCATTTATTTACATGATGCAGAAATCCAACTTGCCTGATTCATCCATTCACACCTTCATTTTGTCTACAGAAGTGCTTTCTATTTAACATTCACATACTCGAATGGAATTGCAACTTGAGCAGCTTGGGGTTAGTATCTTGCGCGAGGATATTTGGGGTGTAGACTGGAGCAGACAGGGACCAACCTTCCAATTAGTAGAGGACATGGTCTACATTGTTATTCTTCTTCCAGCAGTACTATCACCCTAGTCCCGTCAGCCTAACTTTTATTTGGTTTTGTTTTGTTTGGTTTCTGGTGTTCGGCGACTAACTCCGTGTGCATCACTGAAAGAATTTAAATCTTTCTGACTTTGCTGTTGCTTTTGAATTCTCATCTTAGGAGTCTGACCTCATTCCTTTTTAATTCTAGGGGAGAAGCCTCCCCATGTCAGAGAGAAGATGAGCAAGATAATGAAGAAGATGGAACAGAAGAATTTTATCATCATACAATAATAGACAGGTTACTGGAGCGGCACGGAGCCGGTATTCCCCACCACGATCCCAAGCTATATTGTGCTGTAGCTTCCAAAACCAAATCCATTCCAGATTTTAGCATCCTGGCCTTTCCTGATTTCTGGGGTCATCTTCCACCACCAGGACATCAACCCATGGCCCCACGCAAACCCAACATACAGAGGTATTAGATACATGCAATAATAATGTAGTTCATGTAACAGGTACGTAGAAAGTTAGACCTCTAAGCATTTTTATAGTGAAAAGAATGGAGAGCGTTCACTCCAGAGGGCCACATGTTTACCACCAACCGTATTCCTAATATGGTAAGAAAAGCAACAGAGGCGATGACAGGGTTTTAGTACTGGACAATAGCAAACTATTAGCATGTAATATAATGAAACCTGGTGTAATGATGTGAAACACCTATGTCCAATCACAGCAAGAGGTGGCAGCAGGGGAAATGTTTAAACCTCCTGGATTGCTTTTGTATTTGATCAGCTTTATCCATTATACCATCACAGCTGGTGACACTAACAGACTGAATAAATTGACCAAAAACTTTTGTGAGCAGAAAAGAACAGATGACTGACTGATGTTACAGCCTAAAGAGGAAGTATAGCGATCACAGCAGGAGGTATATAAGTATTTGAGCAATAAGTATTTAATAATGACTCAGATATTTACTGCTGCTGTAAATATAAAGGATAGGTTTTTTAAACATATTTCAAGGACTGTGATTCGAGTATTCGACGCTTGACTATGCTTGTGTGTTTATCAGACAGAAAGTGTTTGAAGATATTCAGCGTTTTCTGAAAACTGATGACATCATTAACCATGTTGTCTTTGACCTCGAAGATAGCAAGTAAGTTACCCTCCCCTCACCCCCTGCTCCCCATCTCCATTCTTTCTTTAATTGGTTGTTTTCCCGGGACGGACTTGGACTTGACGATTTGAGCTTGAAAGATTAAAACCTTAAACCTGAAACCAACATGTAGACTTGTGTTTCTGAGCTGATTAAAAGCTGTTGTGGTCCTCACAGCACAGCCTCTGCAAAACCTATGATTTTATTGAATATGAAGGTTTTTTCGAACCATAAACATCCTCAGCAGTAATACTGATCAATGTAATGCTGATGGGGAGCATTTTTCAGGAAAATAAATACTTCTATTTTTGATACTTGTAAATGTTAAATTTGACAGTAATACAGTTTTATGTGTTGTTTTATAGTATTTGTTGCTTTTGTTCCAAAATAATTCCTTCACCACTCATAAGAGAGTGTGAGTGATGTTTGAATCTAGTACAATTTGTCTTGGGAAAGACTAAAAGAAACTTTATTTTTATCTATGCATCAAGCCATTTTCTTCTGCTTATTCAATTCAGGGTCAGGGGAAGGAGGAAGGCGGGGTACAAGCTTGGACAGCTTACCAGTCTGTGGCGGGTCTAGAAAAGGCAACCATTCATTTTAACTTAATTACATTTTTTTGGAGGGGTTGCACCCAATGTTCCCACTAAGCTGCGCGTGCGCGCAGTTGCACACTGCTGGCACGGTCTCTGTGCACAGAAAATCTGCGTTGCGCACAAAAAAAATCTAACCTGAATTGAAATTAAAATTAATACTTTAACAATTCTGTTTGGCAGTGTTAGTCAGTAAGTGTCTGGCTGCTCCCGTATAGGATTAGAACGATGCCCAGTGTTGGGAAGGTTATTTTTAAAATGTATTCCACTACAGATTACAGAATACATTTTATTCTGTTACGTTACTCAATGAGAGTAACGTATTCTGAATACTTTGGATTGCTTAATATATTATCATGCTTTTTACAACTACATGAATGTCCTATTGCTGTGTGATTTATTACTATTACGGCTCCAAACCGTAGTAAAGGGACCTCTGGCTAATACGGTGGGTTCCGTGTCGGGCTCGTAGCCGAAAAATAGCTTTACTTTGTTGCCTGGGTCAACTTTGCTAGCGAGAGAGAGACAGAGAGAGGCATTGAAAGGCTGCTCCAACGGAACTTATTGTTTTCGGAGGAAAACACGAACACGGTGTACAGTCGAGTCTTAATAACTTACTTACAACTGGGCTCGGCAGGCACTCTTTTTGTCTGCAGTGATTATTATATTTACATGCTTCCAGCTCTCGTTTCTGCTCGATGTCAACTCGTACTTTTCTACCATCCTTTTTCTCCCTCCTCGCGCTCACAAACACATAACGGGTATGGCAGTCCATTCTCCCTGCAGCACGGACTACACTGCCCATGAGGCTACATTCTTTAGTGCTATGCATTCTGCCTGTTAGCTTAGCACAACAACAACAAAAAGGTGCTTTCTCACCCAGGAAACACAGTCGCAGAGAGAGCGTCACCCTGTAACCATGGCAACCGTAACGCTGCTGCCTGGAACAACAGAACAAACAAAACCCAAACAGTCCTGACCCGCGACAATATGAAACAGGGAAGTACCGCCGTGTAATCCATTTATTTCAACAAAGTAACTGTATTCTGAATACCACCTTTTTAAAACGGTAACTGTAACGGAATACAGTTACTCATATTTTGTTTTTTAAATACGTAACGGCGGTACATGTATTCCGTTACTCCCCAACACTGACGATGCCACCTTATCCCACAGTCCAGCCAATGATGCGATTCACATTCGCATCATTGGCTAATCAACGCAGCTAATCAACGTCGTTGACAGGCTATGACAGCGTCCTTATGTGCCGACACCGGTGTTTTAGCTAGCAAAGCGACGTGGCTGATGTGGAGTGAAGCAACGTTAATGACAACGTACACAACCATTGGAGATGTGAGCAGGACAGACTGAACAATTGACGGAAAAAGTGTGGACTTTATACCAGTTTTTAAATTGTGTTGATAGGCCACGTAAAACCAGAGTTACGATAAAAATATCTACAATGTTTGGTTTTCTTCCTGAATACTATGGCGTTATTTTTGTGCCACTATTCTGAGCGCACGTAAAAAAAGTTTGCAGGTGCAAGTGTTGCATTTTGAGGAGAAATTTATTTTGAGCGAAGACAAGCTGAATTTGAGTGAAGAAAATTCATTGCTGCGTGAAAAAAATTTATTTCAGTGTTTGCTATTATCCACACACACACACAATAGCAGCCCCTCTCGCTCAGTTTTTGCATTTGCGCTCGCTCGCAATGTGTTGCTCGCGCTCTCAACATTTCTTTCTCTACACTGTTGTATCTGTTGCAACGGATGCAAAAATATCTGATTGGCTGTTCTGGTCTCCAATCAGCTCGAAATGACAAAATGCAATATCCCAGAATCCATTTCGTCCAAAGCTCAAACGAGGCAGTGGCGGAGGAACACAGAGTGTTTGAATACTACTCTTTCTGGATCACAAAATAAACTTTTAAGATATTTTCATTCGAGAATGGTGCTGTGTAAACTTAAAACATTTGCTCGATTTATCAAGACATCACATATTTGCATAAGTGCTCTAACGTTTTCGGAGATGCCTGTTACCCACCAGCTGACCGGGTGGTCACTCGGGTTAAACATAATATATAAGGCTGAACTGACAAAAACCAGGTAGGCTATTATAGGAAAAACCATAAAGCCTTTGAACTAAAACAAACGCTCTTGTGACACTGATGTACACTGTCGTGTTGGTATATATGCATGATTTGTATCACCTTCAAGTTTCCAAACCGATATCATGAGCAGCAGTTTTTACAGCTGTGGCTCCAGCAAACAGCTGATACTAGAAATTAATTTTAAATAACCTAACCCTAACCCTCTTGCTTACTTTTTTGCAAAAATCACAGCAAGAGACAGACAGATAGGTGTGTGTTCATGTAGGAATAGGGTGGTGTGTGTCCTAAAGACCGTCTGTGTCTCTCTTTGTTTCTCCGTCTTTCAGTCTTCAGTGTCACTCTGATTCTTTGAGGTTTTTTTCCAAGTTTGAATCTGGGAATCTGAGAAAGGCTGTTCAGGTCCGCAGGTATGTTGTGTTGAGACACACACACACACACACACACACACACACACACACACACACACACACACACACACACACACACACACACACACACACACACACACAGAGTTTAGGAGATCTAAGCTTACATTTCATTATTACTAATTACTGAGAAAATAAATCATATTTCATTTTAAATGCAGTACAAAGCAACAATGTCCTCTCTTCTCTTCTCTTCTAGATATGAATATGACCTCATATTGAATCCAGATGTTAACTCTTCTCAGCATACCCAGTGGTTTTACTTTGAAGTTAGTAACATGGCAGCCGATGTCCCATACCGTTTTAATGTCATCAACTGTGAGAAGAGCAACAGCCAGTTCAACTATGGTGAGGTGGTTTGTGTGTGTGTGTGTGTGTTCCCTCATTTATAAACTTAATTTGTCACTATTGTCATTATTGCTTTATACATAAATCAGTGATGTCACATGGTACTTATTTACTCTCCAAATAGGCGCGCAAGTGTTTGTGAAGAAAATAAGCACTCTGTGGCATCATTTCATTTCATGTGTGACGAGAAAAAAAACTTTGCATTTAAGCATGACTGCAACTTTCCACACTGCATGATTATACAACCATGAAGCTGAAAGAATAACATGCTGGAGAGAGAGCCATTCACAATCACAACTGATTTAGTATCACCATTTTACCCAGTATGTACAGTGGGGCAAAAAAGTATTTAGTCAGCCACCGATTGTGCAAGTTCCCCCACCTCAAATAATGACAGAGGTCAGTAATTTGCACCAGAGGTACACTTCAACTGTGAGAGACAGAATGTGAAAAAAAAAAATCCATGAATTCACATGGTAGGATTTGTAAAGAATTTATTCGTAAATCAGGGTGGAAAATAAGTATTTGGTCACCTCAAACAAGGAAAATCTCTGGCTCTCACAGACCTGTAACGTCTTCTGTAAGAAGCTTTTCTGTCCCCCACTCGTTACCTGTATGAATGGCACCTGTTTGAACTCATCATCTGTATAAAAGACACCTGTCCACAGCCTCAAACAGTCAGACTCCAAACTCCGCCATGGCCAAGACCAAAGAGCTTTCGAAGGACACCAGGAAAAGTATTGTAGACCTGCACCAGACTGGGAAGAGTGAATCTACAATAGGCAAGCAGCTTGGTGTGAAAAAATCAACTGTGGGAGCAATCATCAGAAAATGGAAGACATACAAGACCACTGATAATCTCCCTCGATCTGGGGCTCCACGCAAGATCTCATCCCGTGGGGTCAAAATGATCATGAGAACGGTGAGCAAAGATCCCAGAACCACACGGGGGGACCTGGTGAATGACCTGCAGAGAGCTGGGACCAAAGTAACAAAGGTCACCATCAGTAACACACTACAACGGCAGGGAATCAAATCCCGCAGTGCCAGACGTGTTCCGCTGCTGAAGCCAGTGCATGTTGTTAAGATTCAATATTGAGGAAGGGTACAAGAGGTGATCGAAGAATAACCACACCGATCCGGCCGGGTAAAGTCAAACGAAGATTTTAATGAATACACGCGTGGGAAGACAACTCTGTACGCAGACAGGAAGTAGTCTTCGACTTAATCAAAGCATGAACAGATATTTTATAGCATCAGGGTTTATTTACTGACGCCCCTTCATACGTCACAGATACATTTTATACATAGATCAGATCAACATCATCATTGACTTTTCACCTAGAAAATCATCTTCTATTTTCATGGCTAGCCCTTCCTGTCTACCTTTCAGTTCTTGTCTTGTTCCTCTTTCTTGCCGAGACACCAAGAAACGGTTCCTCTTTTACCAAGACAATTTTGCAGTTAGAGCCAAACATAACTAACCTCTCCTCTAAATAAATCTAATTTAAAGTGTGTGTGTGTGTGTGTGTTGACCTCACATGCTCTTTGTGTCATCTCTTCACCTACTGTCTGTGTCTCGTCCTCAAATGCTCTTTCTCAATTCACCTGTTGCACTTCTGACCTTTTACCAGACCAGAAGCTCACTGAGACTATGTGTATGTCTTCTACTAAATAAATGTTTTAATCAAGAACCTCTCTTAAGGCCTTCTTAAAGCTATCTGTTATATTGTTAAAGCCTCGTCTTAGCCTGCGGCTCAAAATAACTTCCTGCTTCTTTCTGCATACAACTTCCTGTCAGCCTGCAACTCAGTCTTTCTGAAAGAGACACTGTTTAAACCTTGGAATGCAACATCCATGCTGCAGATTATATTATTAATGCAATGACAATTATTTAACAATAGCAGTAAAATAATTTCCCTCCTCGACACTCCCCCTTTTGACCTCTGGAACACCAGAGGTCACAATACATTGTGTCCCCACGCAGACCCTTCTCTGGTGGTCTCGAACCTCGAGATCTCCAGGATCCTCGCCCCTCCTGTGGTCGCCGAGATCGATCTTCTGCAAAGGAAACAAAACACCTTTTCTTGCATCTCCCTAACTTATCCTATCTGGGACTTTTTAATCAAAAGCCTGATCCTAATTATCTTCTTAAATTATTGACTTGTGTTTATGTATACACTTCAACGTTACTCATCACTTTAAAATTCTTTTAAGCGCTGGTTTCACGTCCAGTTGCTCGCTCTACTTTCCCTTATCTGATCATCAACATCCTGTTCACAAGTTGTCGCTGCTGCAAGTTAATCTACTCCAAAAGAAAACAACCACTTTAATCAATTAAGTTTAAGCATATAAGCAATTACTCCTGTATACATTTCATCATAGCTAAATGCTGCCTTGAAACAACTCCTATGTGTTAACACTAACTTCATTTTAAAACCTCACATTTCCTATGTTATCACCTGTTTTGGTATAACCTTTTTATTTCATTTTGCTCCCTTAATGTAACAATACCTTCTAATTCTAATGTATCAGACTTAACCAAAATACATGCTTTCCCTCCTCTTTGGTCCTTCTTTAAGTTCAGTTAAAAGCTAAATGAATTTAGGGCCTTTTGCCTGGAATCAATACTGTCATGTGTGTTTCTTAACTCTGTGTCTGTAAGCGTGTGCAATCCTTCATGAACTCATATTATCCTCACAGTAGATTGGCTAATCATAGCGCTAGCCAAAGGCTCATGACCCTCCAGAGACAAATTTGAGCCACAACTCCTTTAAAAGCACAAAATGCAATATGTATAAAATAGTTATAACTGCACCTGAAATACAAAGTTAACATCATCATAAACACCTTATGGTCATCAAAGCAATGGGCAGGGCTGCGACCCAATTTAGCCCTGTCTGCGCACAAATTTTAGCCAACTTGTTTTTCAAATCCAACATCCTCTCTACCTCTTGCAAATCTTTATTCTTGAAGTGAGCACCATTGTCTGATCTAATTCTCTTGGGAAACCCATGCCTTGGAATGTAATGATTCTTAATCACACTTTTCGCGTCTCCACATTTAGTCGCCCATGCTTCGGGCCATCCAGTCAAGACATCCACACACACCAACAAATACCTCACCCCACCTGGGCCTGTATCAATCATGTCGGTATAATCAATCACGACCTCTTCTCCTGGCCTTCCTGGCATGAGAAACTTACCAGCTTCAGGTTTTACTGCTGGCTTTGGGTTGTGTGCCCCACAAATTAGGCACGTTCTGGCCTTTTCCAGTATCATCCTTCTCAAATCAGGATGCCACCATCGGCACAAATTTCTCTCCATCTGTTCCACTCCCACGTGACCAAGCCCGTGAGCCTCATTCACCTTTTGTTCCGCCATTTTGGCCGTTAAAGCGGGACGCCCATCTGGCCCCCTCCACAAACCGCCATCTTGCCAGGCTCCTTTGTTTTCCCACACCCCCTTTTCCTCTGGGGATGTCTCCTCCTGAACCTGTCTAACTTCTTCCATGCTGTTAGTGCTAACCTCCTCTTCTGGGGTTACCTGCACCAGTTGTCTCTGTCCTTTGTAGCCCGCTGCTTCCTTTGCGGCTTCGTCAGCTTTCTGATTTCCTCTTGCCACCATACTGTCTGCTTGTGAGTGGCCTTTGCATTTTATAATACTTACCTCGTCTGGGTCCTCCAGGGCCTTTTTGTGACAGATGGGTGCATTAGTGGCCGTTCTGAACCCGGCTCTCTTCCACTGAGCCAGTTCCACATGAGCTGCTCCAAACGCATATGCTGAGTCAGTGTAGATGTTCACTCTCATGTTTTTAGCCAACCTCAGGGCTCGAGTTAGGGCTATCACTTCAGCTCTCTGGGCCGACTGTTGTCCCTCGATTTTTCCTTCAACCTGGGCTTTCTTAATACAGTCATGTGGTTCTCCTGACCCCATTAGGTCTGCCATATTTATTCCTTCATGTGTGAATATCAGATTTGGCGCCTCTAAAATTTTGCTCAACCTTTGTTGCGTCAGTGGAGTCATTATGAATGCCTGTGAGTTCACATAGGCCACTACACTGTGTGTAGTAAGCACTTTCAGTGGATGTTCCCTCACTATATGTGCTGTTTTCTGAATTATCTTTACTACTCCTGCTGCGTGTTGTGTGCATGTGGGATGCCTTGCTTCTGTTGAATTTAATCTTATGCTAACATACATAAGTACATCCCTACCTCCCCCTTTTTTCTGAAACAACACACCATTCACAACTCCCTTTGTTTCTGAAACATCAAGATAAAATGCCTCATCATAGTTAGGTGTGGCCAGATCTGTGGCTCTTGACAAATCCTGTTTTAGTGAAATGAACGCTGTCTCTGTGTGTGTTCATTAACCCCACTGATCTGTGTGCGATCACCCGGCCCAGGAATGTTACCTCTGGCCGGACCAACTGCAGTTTTTCTTTGCTCACTTTGAAGCCACACTCCGCCAATCTGTTCAACACCACGAGCGATGCTGCCGTACAGGCCGCTGCTGACGGGGCTGCAATAAGAAGATCATCAACATACTGTATTAATGTACAGCCCCCTGGCAGTTGACATGGGGACAATGCCTCTTTCAACACCTGATTAAAATTCCTGGTGAGAGTGCAAAGCCTTGTGGTAGGCGTGTGTACCTAAATTTGCGGCCTCTGTATGTGAATGAGAAAATGTCTCTGAGTGACTCGTGCAGTGGGAGACAAAAGAATGCATTCGCTAGGTCAATACATGTGAACCACTTTTGGTCTTCAGTTTTGTGCTTCTATTATGGTCTGTTAAATGGTATGTCAGACCTCAGCCGGAACAGGACAGGCGAACAGTTAGCTAGACCTACATCTGTGGGCCCTGCGGACCACAAAGTACCAGGCAATTTTGAGAGCTCAGCTACTGCATCAGGATGATCCATTCTTTCCCTGCCATGTATTCTGGAGATTTCTTTACGTTCCAAGATCACTGCATCGTTGGACAAACAAGTTATGCGATA